GATAAGGAGCACTGTTGCTGATTCTTAATGGAAAAGAGAGTATCTTTTTGTGGACATTTAACTATCTCAAAAGAGAACCTAGTATTAAAGTTCAATGGATTGTAAAACTCTGGGATAGTCTTAGTTCAGAAGCAGTAAAGGATTATTTGCTAAAGATAAAAAGCAAATCCCAAAACAGTAGCCCAAAAACTAATATGGAGATTCTGAGTAGAGAACAGTTGATATAAATGCAGTTTCACTTTTTTTTTTTCCTCACAACAAAGCCAGCTGTTCCCTTGTTTGTTCAAGAAAAGGTGTTGTATCAGCTAAAGTCTAGTGTTGTAACATTGGTTAAAGTTGGTGGTTGCTGAATGTTTCCATACCACATATTTATTAAACATTATTTGGATTGGGTTTCTAGAAGGAAGTTTCAGTTTGATTTACCATTTAAGATAACTCTGTCTGGTTCTAACTCTTTGGAAATGTTCAGTACACTTCACTTTCAAAGACTATGTTACTTAATAATTCTAGGATTTATTAAGAATTGGGTAGCTATCAGATCTCATTCATACTTCTACAGTGTGAAATTAGCAAAAAGATATAGCTAAGTACTTGATCTCAACTTAGTCTTCTCATTACATATTTAAGATGATTATTCTATGTTAATCAAGAAACTAAGGAATACCTCTTTAGGACCATTGCTGGAAGTTGTTAGAATGTAGTCTAACTTTAAATTTCAGGGAGTCAGTCAAATCGATTGATAAAACTTATCTGATGCCACAACCTCTAAATGAATAGCTTTTGCTAATAAAGTAGTATGCTTTCAATATATGAAAAAATTTCAAGTTCGAGTTGTTTACACTTCAGCTGATTTTAGGTGTTATGTTATAAGATTTTTTTTCTGAGAATAGATGCTTATAAGATTTTAAAATATGTTTAATTTTCTGTATAGCTCCACCAAGTATGTTGGTGAAGGATGAATATGTTCATGACTTCGAGGGACAGCCATCGTTATCCACCGAAGGGCATTCAATTCAAACCATCCAACATCCACCAAGTAATCGTGCATCAACAGAGACATACAGCACCCCAGCTCTCTTAGCTCCATCTGAGTCTAATGCTACCAGCACCACCAACTTTCCCAACATTCCTGTGGCTTCCACAAGTGAGTTGTAGAATCAGATATAGTGAGCAAGTTGAATTTCCCTAACCATTGAATATTTATATATAATCACTTGGAGGAAAACTCCTAGTAAGTAAAAATTAAAAGTGCTATAGTATCTTTCATAGGTAAATAAGTATTAAATAGGCTTTTGGGTTGGTCCTGGAAACAATGGTGTATAGTTTATTTAAAGGTTTTTATGTCGCTGTATAGTTACTTGGAATTTAATGACTTTGATTATGATATTGATTTAAATTAATGGTCTCATTTGTACTTTACTATTACATGAAGAAGGTAGGAAGCCTTTTGAGCTTTCAGATACATTTTAGAGAAATATTTAAGTAGTTAACAAATAGTTTTAAACCAAGATGTTTATTAAAAAATGTATTAATACAATTGCCTGCTTTCCTTTAATCAGTTTTTATTTTGCTTTATCTGGCAGAATATTACTTTATAATAGTCATCTCAGTCTCCCATTGTGCAAACTTAGAAGCGATCTTAACAAACTTCTTATAACTTACAATCCTCAAGATAGATGTTAAATATTTTAGTCAATTTCTAAATAAATCTAGATTCTACGTAACTAACTATATATGTATATTTTTAAAAATAAGTCTATTTCGTAAAGGTTTTCCCCTGATAGAGGGGCCACCATCCCTGCTAGAGGGCTATTAGGTTCAGCTTTTCCTGGGGGCCTCATCCAAGAGGTAATGGCCTGGTTCTGTTAATACTATTTATTTTATTAGTCACCAAAGATTGGACAGTTTGCTGCTTATAGTACCTTTCTTTTTTTAAAAAAATTAATCACAGAGCAGAGTCTTGGCATGTGTATGATGTTTTTACATCTGGTTGCTAAGGAGATTGTATCTAAGCCCCCATCAGCACTAGATGCTGATAGATCTAGACTAATACTTTGTTAGCTGCTACCAAAGGGAACATTATTCTAATATCTGATTAGATTCAGTATAGAAATTTGACCTTTGGAATAAATGGAGGACTGATTTATATAATTGAGTTTTCAAGTAAAAATACCAACTTTCTCCCATTTTATTTCATCTCTTCAAAGTGATATCTTTTGTATTTGCTACGTTAAATGACAGTCTCAGCATAGAGACTCAGATAGTCTCTGAAACTATGTGAGCATAGTTTCACATATTCTAGGTAGGTCATATAGGTTAAGCACGTACTTTAGAACCTGGACTCTTAACTGCTTGATGATTCTGTTATGTCTACTCTTCATTTACGATTAGGGAATATAGTTGACAAAGTGGGTAGTGATAGAGAATAAAAAAAGGTGTATTACAGCATAGATGAGTGCTAGAGCACAGCTACTGATCTCTGTTGATAGTATCTAGAGGTTGAATTTTCAAGCCTTGTTGATGCTTGCTAAAGTGACTGCATTTTAACTGTTTTGTTCCCTGGGGCCGAGTCCTGTGATGACCAGAAAAAGTGATATGAATGAAATGCAGATAATTTTGTCTTGGTATTTTTGGATATATTTTCACAATTGAGTAGTAATTACCGTAGGTTTTAGAATTTTAAAAGTTTCTCCCATTAGATCTCAGAAAAATTTATTGATAAAATTAAAAGAAAAGAAATTGGACTAAAATAGAAGAATTGGAAGACTGTTTTATATGAGCTGATTTAGTTGTTTAATTTCATCTTATGTACTTGGAATTGCGTAGTGGAAACATTCAGTACAGATAACTGCAGTTCATGGGGTACTTTACAGTTTACGTTCATTTGGCACCCGAATGTCTTCAGGGCTTCTTTCTAAATATCTATAAATTAAAATTATTTAACTTCTCTTGTATAGTGACAGATTTTTAAGTTAGCTGAGGGTATGTAGTGTGTACAGTTGTTAAGAGTAAAAATGTAATTAGCCTTTAAGATAATTTGCAAAAATTTTTTTGAGTTGAGCAGGAAGGGATGTTACTAAAAACATATTCTTTAAAAATAAATAATTTGGGGAGTGTTAAATATCCTCATTAACTTTTTACAGTCTTAGCCTTAAGGAAATGTGATTCGTAGAGAAAATGTTCCTTTTCTTTGATACTTTGAGCAGTGGTTATTTATCTCTTCTTTCAGATTATACTCCCATTTAGACAAGAAAAGATTATAGTAATGCCAGTGACAAATAACAATTATGAAACTTCAGTGCTTTTCAAATGAGATAAACCATTAATTAATGCTTGCTTAAGGAAATTAAGCTTTTTCCACTAAAAAAAAGGTGACTTAAAATATAGGTCAGTAAGCAATATCATAGGATGGTTTTCAATTGAATGGAAACCAGAAGAAGCTTATTCCTGGTGTATTACATATAGAGAGGGCAACTAATTTACTGTAAATCCAGGAATATGATAATATTCTTGGAAGGAGATGAGTCTTGGTTTTTAAAAGCACATGAAAAAGTTTCAAAGTAGACTGGTAGTCATATATATATGTAAAATAAAAAGAAAAATTGTAAGTCGAACCATTGTAATCAGCTGTCA